CAACGTTGGCACAGAAATAGTTTGCAAGTGTTATCCAAAAGCAGAAATGAAATTAAGAAAATATCCCTCAAATCGTTTTCTATGAATGAAAATTACACCTAGAGCTTAGTGACCTCCTATGGGGTACTTGTTGTGAAGGCACGGTCTACACTATACTGACAGTAAACGTTCTCATAAGATAGCTTGACGAGTAAAAGTTGTCTCGGGTTAGGCTTCTTGGATATCTCCGAGATAACTTAGTGTGTAACGTACTTGTCTGCTAATTTTAGGGAAACGTTTTGGGTTAGGTTCGAGCCCGGACATTAGCAGACAGACTTCGTTCCCTGCTAGCAGCCACCCGTCTGATAGGATGCCTAGGGCCGATGCTGGACGTAAAACTCGAAACAAAGAGGCTTCTTGGCTATCAAGTTAAAATTCGCTGGCCCAGATTCTCGAGCATCCTCCTACATAGCGCTTTGATCATGAACACCTTTATCAACGACGGTCACGCAATAAATACGCTTTCTTGTTTCTACACATGTTGAACATTAGTATCATTGTTATCATTGGGCGTCGCAAAACTGTCAGAATAGAAATACTCTAGCACGATCACACCGCTTCATCAATGGCGTAATCATAATACTTAGCTTTGCCAATTAAAGCGTTCGAAACATGTAAAGGTTTTATAAGGCATTAATTAAAAAGTTGCGTTAATAAAAGCTTAATAAACAGAACAACTTGTGCCTTACGATGCAGATGGTACAAGGTGCTTTACTTATCGAGTAAAGCTGTGTGACAGTAGAGTTACCTTCGAAATTGTCCACCGAAGGCAATCAGATAAATACGACAATGGCTGGCAGGACAACTAAGTATATAAATGTGAACTGCCTTAATCAGGCTACCAGCAGAACGTCCACGAAGTAAACTATTAACTCTAGATTATTAAACCTAACTAGTACATTAATAATTGAATACGGAAACATGTTGGCGCTCAGTTCTGGTACGTTTCACCTACGGCTTCACTTTCAACGTATTTTCCGATTCGGTACTACTGTTTTGCATATGGAGCCTTAGCACCGTATCCGACTCGTCAGAGGACGCTCATTGTTGACAAAAATGATGCAGCTAATTTTTATTCAGCCTCGTACTCGGCGCCCATCGTGACTTATATGCTCCATCTATAGAAGCTGAATAAACATTTACGCACGGAAAACATACTGAACAAAGATTTCGGCAATGCTTACCAAATGCGTACAATATGGCAGACTCGTACGCCGGTAATGCTCAACAGACAACTGCATCAGTGGGAAAGTCTTATGACTGAAATTGTTATAGTCTGCTAGTATTATTATCTGTATTTTACCGCAATAGCCACGCCGGTCTCCACGCAACATTGTTTCGATGGCTCTTACTGTTTTGCCCCTGTGCAGAATACTATTTCCAAAAATAACAACGTTATCTTTTCTACCAAGTTCATGCACGCTGCTTTCGATATATTCTAAAATCAGCTGTACCATTGAGTTCTCTCATAACTAAGGGCTTAAGAATGCCGCATCTCAAACTAGTTCTATATCCTGTTAGGTGTGGTTTTGAAATCTGGCAGTCAAGAACTTGGAGATAACTTAAATACTACGTCGTATTACATTTATTTAACCTTTTTAATATCGAGACAATTTAAAATGTTGTTTCAAATAGATATCAAAGCTAGAACGGCTTCATTATTTGCCAGGGTATATAAAGGGGATTTAGATGAACTTTTGAATCACGTATGGCCGTTTCTACCACGCCATTTTGAACCAATTTGTTAAAATGCTCTTTGTTGTTACAGTGGAATGTTCCTATAATACGATTAGAGAAAAAAAAGTAGGTGCGCTTCATCTAAAATTCAAGAGCACGGTGTCGATTAGTGAACGTCATCACTCGGACGTCCAATACGCCCCTCCAGAAGTTATCGTTTTTCCCTCTCCACGAACAGTTGTTGGTGTCACCGTAAATCCTATGGCTTTGTGGCCAATGGAAGGGGCAAAGCATAAGAAGAAAAACGTCTACTAAAAAAGTAACGGCTTGATGAAATATCAGAGTACGATTGACAATATATGAACTAGTGCTAGCAAAGGGGCTCTTAACAGGCACAGATTTACGAACGAAGCCTGTCGACGACAACTATGTTAAAATCTTCCGTTATCAGTATGGGTGTGGTACCTGTCATAGAGGTAAAGACAGTGGCTATTTGCAACCTAATTATTGTTTCAAGTTTTAACCTTCGTTAGTGCCGTTATGGATCGCTTCAGACGGCTAGGCCCAGCTCGCAATTGGTATATTTAAGCCCGCTTTCATACCTAGACCACTTGACGTGTCCCCACATGTATTCAGCTACCACTGTTACCACTGCATTCTCATAGAGACTATTGACAAACAGGTCATCGGTATCGCCCTGTCATAGAGAATATTATTAATTATGGACACGATGGGTCAAGGCTGGTGCTTTTGTAGGCATTCCATATAGCAGTCACTCGAGTTTTTAACCCTTGAGAAATAATCTGTCTATTTAAAGTATTATTTATTTAGATCAAAAATCTACCTAGCCGCCTTCAGCATGACCGGGATCTCTGTCTTTGGAACTGTACAGTTTCTTCCTTCGTGCGTTTTCCTAAGGCGTAAAGTCCTTCCTACTGCGAAACAGTGCCTATCACAATCTCCCTCTCATCGTGATTTTGTAGAAATATAATGCTGAACCTTGTATCTCACAACATGGAGATTAATACAAACGTTTTCTCAAATCCGAAGGCACTATAACATGGCCCGAGGTAATTTCATTTTCAGCCCCTGGGAGGCCACTTGTTACTCAACATGCCGCCTGCTGTAATTAACGAGTGTTCTTTGAAGTAAAGCAAAGCAAAGCCCGAGCAGTTTTTGCTAAACCTTTAATGAAGGGATGTCCTAAAATGTGCCCCACTTTATCCTTACTTTTTCAAAGCTCTTATTTTTTGAACGAAAGCTCTTACAAGGTAGATTGCAGTGAAAAGCAAGCGCAATCTGTCTATGCGAAAAAACTTTGTCTATGTTTGAAAAAAAAATGGCTTTTCGTGTTTGTCCACTTAATCACAAAATGGTAATAATCTATACACAAAGGCTATTTACTGCCAGGTTTGGGCGCTGATATTGGACATTTCAGCCGAACGTCACTAATCTGCTTGTCACATTAAGTAACTTTATTAGCCCATAATATTCGTGGGAAGAGCTGTTTAATCCCTAACGAACCATTCATCCCATGAATTTATAGAAGTATCTGTGTGTAATAGAGTGTGATCCCGTCATCGATTTGTAATGACTGCATTGTACACATTGATATGGCAAGATTATGTAAGTCATCACCAGACATGACTGCCTAACATGGCACTACATCAGGGACACTAGATTAGCTCAACGAGCGAAACGATGGCGCCGCTGTCTCAACAGACAAGCCGTTCTGCGATCTGCAGGACTTTCAAGGCTCCAGCTCGTTCTCTATGTCTGCCTTTTTCCACGGGGTCTCTGAGATCTTCTCTTCCGCATACTTTAGCTTGAAACAATCAGCTGATGTATCAAAAAAATATTTCCATTGCTAGAAGAACTAACGCTTTTAATGAGGCTTAAGAAACTCGATTTGGCTTCAACGTGTTCACATTTCAGTTAATCATATTGCATAACTTTCCGTAGTGGCCTCTATTTACCACTGGAAGCTTGACACTGGAATCGCAAAACATGGAAACGTGTGAGCGATGACCTGCATTCGTCGAATCCTAAAAATTACCGAATCCTTTCAGGCCAAATCGAAACGGCTTGGTATTCTACCGTACACTTCTGCAATATGGTAAACAGGACTATTCTTTCTGCAACCGGTCACAAGGTGTTGAACTTTCCTCTCGATCGAAGAAGCCTAGCCATTTGTCATCAGCCATTTTCTTAACCAGCGGTTACTGAAGGACCCGTACCCAACTGTAGCTCCTGAAGCAGTTGTCCCTTCGTGTTTTGCAAACTTACGCTGTTTCCCGCGGCGGTCCTTTAAGCTATTTTTTCCAAATTGGGTAGCCCGGAGCTTACCCTGGCGAAGTAGTTTCCAGGTATCACCTGGTCGTAAAGGCCTTCGCAGGCTTTGCAACAGCATCGTCTGTAGCTAGAACGAGAAACGTCAGTTGTTGGACGCCTTTTTTCCGACTCCTCTAACACCTTAGAACCGTCTAGTATAAAAGTCTACATGGAGCCGCAGTTCGGGCCGCTGATCAAACATCCGTAAATCACACGCAGCAATCGCTTCCTGACTCTCGGCTTTTCGAATGGTTTGCAAATTCTACCGAGCTGCGCCACTAATGATACACGATGCCTCAAGAGTGAGCTCGACCGAAGCTGCTTACTGATCTATAGACAGGTTGTCCACTGCTATTACCACGTAGAGACTGAACAAAATTTCTATCATTATGAACTGAATCATCGTAGACGGATGTTAAACACAAGGAAGACACGATAAAGGACGCTCTCATTATCGGTTTTCAACGCATCTATTAGTTTATACCGTGTCAAACGTTCTATATAAATTCAGCTTCAGATCTTCGAAAACAGGATTCCTTCAGAAATTCCTTCCAAGGCAGGGGTTCCTTCAGATCGCTTGTTTTATTTCCGGAAAGTTTCGCTGTGAACTTTTCTTTTTCGATTACAACTTGAAGAAAACTTACACAGCGCTTAAATGATTTCTGTTCATTATTATAATTACTCTTATCACCTTTTGACCCTCTGGTTGGATAATTGTCGTTATCATGATTTTATTTACAACTTAGATGGTCTCTCCGATAATACCAGTTCATTTATTTCTAGCAAACAATCCATTATTCTTTTTCTAAATTTATATTATATCTATTCAAGCTACATGGTGTCATAGACGCTTGATAGCAACGGCACACACTCACGCTGAAGTAACAATATTAAGCACGTAATATTTATTTTTTTTTGCTGTATTTCAGAGCCGACACGTCGATCGAACTTACTTGGACATTTCTGCCAGCGTAGAGAAAATAGGATGAGCTGATCCAAGAGCACAACCTGACAGGTCCAGGAAAGTCAGGTGAGAGCTGAGAAGTTCGTAGATGTCGAGAAGTTCGTTGAGGAGGCGATTGCTGGCCAAAAAATTCACTCTGCTTTGCAGTACGGGGCCGAATGTATCCCTAAATGGTTTAATTCTAAAATCAAAACAATTGCATATTGCGTAATATAAACATTGCAACATTACGAATATTATGAGACAAAAAGTATGTAGTTGTATCTTATTATTATAATTTTATTATAAATTATTTAGTCTGGGAAACACCGACCAAAATTTCTAACCATATATAAATAGGTGTTTATCTTCACGTTAGTTGATTCTTTACATCCACTCTTTTGTGGTACCCCTAGCCCCAGGTCAAAATTAGGCTAGCCCTACCTAGTTAGTAAAGCTGAAGCCCCTTAAAACTATAATTCTACGATGGATATGTTACCCATACGGTGTGAACCAATTTTAAGCGGATTTCGGGACAGGAATGCACTGATGTTCATGTCGATAAGGCTGAGGAAATTGCTCACAGGAGTTAATACCAAATACTTAAATTATTTGAATAATCATTGATTTTCAATTTGCGAACTGTGCCCGGGAACTCAGCGCTGACTCGTATTCTACCCAACGCATCGGTACACTGAGAGCAGTAAAAACAAATATTTAAATGAACAGTTTTCTTAAAATGCAATATTATATAATGAGACGGAAGACTGGTTACTGGCTTCAGATGCATCGAGGTACTGTTCATCTGTCAGAATGCCTCCGACATAATAAAAAGAGTTCGACAGATCAATTGCCTTGCAGCAATACAGGATACGGTCAGGCTTACCCTACCACACACGCTACATCGCATTTCAAAGAAAAACAGAGTTTTGTTAAGAGGAAGGACCGAACGTATGACCACGTTTCTATTCTCGTTGTTGTGTTCATCTCATTGTCAGGGCCTGGACGAGCCTTAAGATGCGGGCACGTCCCACATTTTCACAAGCAGGTTACTACCTGCGGTGGCCGACTCACTAGAAACCCGTCAAGCCATTTGTCCGTTTGTTCTTTTTTCTACGGGACAGAGAAGACAGAGTTAGTAGGCGTCGCGCAGGTGTAAAAGCGTGGCATGGATCTGAACCCAAGTTCATTATAAGGTTGTTCCTTCTCGGGCAGCAGCTTTTGTCTTTTTCTTTCTGGTACAGAATAGAGATTGAACGTACATAGCACAAACTAAGCAAGCAAGTACGCGACCTCCATCAGCTGCTACTTTCACTGCCGAACGCAACTGACTTTTCTAGCAGAAGAAAACGAGCGCTTTGTTGTCGGGTCCGAATCTGCTCCCAGCATTTGCCTCAAAAGCCTGCAGTTTCCGGAAATCAGCCCTCTAAGCAGCTTGCTGTTCGAGGAGTTCATCGTATCGCTCGTTCCTTTACTTCTTTTTTTGCAGATTTCCCCTTATCTAGTTTCGTGTTCGCCCACTGGGCAAGCCCCATTTTATCTTCTGCTTGAAGCCACACACCACCGAGCAAATACCGACCGAATGGCAGAGTTTTGGAGGTTCATTGGGCCACTGAATTTTCTATTATTGCTAAATTACGGAACCCTTTACTTTGGAGGTCTCCACTCCACCACTGGCACGAACGCCGCCAAGGTCTGCAACTAAAATTCGGGGCCTGCACCAGCATTAAATTCAGCGGCCAAGTCAGTAGATAGCACGATGGCAGTCCAGAGGAAAGCATGAGCCTTGCTTGCGCGCAGCCGCCGCATTCAACCAAACCTCACGGATCCCGGCCCAGCTGGAACCCTTGCCTTCGTCGTAATTTGTCGAGCTCTGACTCAACGTCAGCTTAACCGTTCGTTTCTTTCTTCTCCACTGAGAAGGCGAAAGTGCAAAACAAACGTGGATAAAATAAAATTGTGAAAGAGAAGGGAGTGGCAGATGGAGCGAATGTAGTAAGCAGCCCACTGGACACAACGAACTCTGACTGGACTTGCATTGACCGTCAACGTCACTTTCTGCCTTTATCTCTCCCTATATCTTCCTTTGTTTGTTGAGTTCATTCGTAGTTTTTGTTTTGATGGGCGGACGAACCGCGTAATGCCTGGGCGTTCTTATTGACACGTCTTCGTTCCTAGGAAACCCCCAACCCCATTTTGCACCAAGTCCGGCAAGCTGTACAACGGATATTGCTGTTCTCGCAGCACCTATTAGATGGGAGGCAGGATCTTCAAAGGGACAACACTCCTGAGACAGAAAGAGCAGAATCCTTTTGAGAGAGGAGAAGGTAAACGAAGGGAGAGAAACCCCCATAGCATTGCTATCCTTTTTTTTTCTTTTTTTGAAAACAGAGCAGGATATATACTTCTTATAAGTCAGTGCTCCCGTGGGATTTATCGTAGCGGAATCACTATGAGGCTTGTATCCCTTATGTTAGACACTACATGTTCCGTGGCACGCTGAATGATGCATTTTCTTGCATATGCATCAGTCGCTTTCATCGACTCCGTTGATATCTACAAAAACGAGTCCTTGTTATCCGCGCTTCACACGCTTATGGCCCGGCGGAAAATATGTATATAGACGACCACCTTGTAGCGTAATTTGTCAATTATCTTATATAAGCGCAGAAGAGTATGCGTCGCATTATATCCAGCACCGCGAAAGCAATTACAACCATTACTTATCGTTTGCTTTCTTGGAGTAAGGTTTTACAAACGGCAAGCGATTCTTATTGCATGATCAGATAAACCGATCTGAACAATGAACCTGGTCTTGAACCTAGCAGCCTTCAAAACAGGCCAAGACAGTTATGATTAGACACCGTGCATCGATTAAAGTTGACGAACTGCTTCCGAGCAACGCGAAGAGGGAATTGAAACAATACGTGTTATATCTTCTGATCGATTTCAACCATTCCCTTGTTAGTTCTTTTAGTATTTTCCTGTCTTAACCCACCAGATTCACCAAAATGTTGGTTACCAGCCGGGGACCGTTAGTCGGTCTAGTTGTGTTTTGAGGCCATGTTGCCATCGGGCCGTAAAAGATAAGGAACGAAAATCGCATACGGACAAAGACGATCATCAACCGAACGATGTGACGTTGAACCCCTGGGGTGCCGTCAACGCGAACTGGTGCCGTCAACGCGAACTGGTGCCGAGCCAACGACTTAGTTCCTGTTAGCAACCGCCAGCCATCATATAGGGGAACCACAACCGTTGCAGGAATCACTGCTAGTTTTTATAAAGGGAAGACGCCTAGCTTACGAAGCACCCGTCCATTTGAAATGTTTAACTGGCCGACTTTCTCTCGCGCATTGGCCCGAAAGTACGAAGGAGAGCTCCCGAACAAGCAGCAGTCGACGGCGTTTTGACGACAATCGGTGCCCGTCCACGTCCAGATTGCAATCAGAGTTAATTCTGAATTCTGAACATGAGTAGCATGCAAGTGAAAGGTAAAACGGGGGGAGAGATAAATTCAAGCCTTTTTCTACCTTCTTTGAGGACTGATTATGTCCGCTACCCCTGCTGTTATTACTGGAATGAAAGCAATACCATTAGCTTTTGCCGTATTCTCATAGGGTGCACTCAGCTAAACAAGAAGAAGGAAAAAAAGATCTAATCATGGACCAAAAAAAGTGTAATTATATGCAATATGGCACATATATGCATAGGCTTTTATATTATATCTTATTAACCGTATGATGGTAATAACAGTGACGAAGTGATTTGAACAAAATACTGGAGGACGTTCAGATACCAGGATAGGTCGAAGACACGCTCCATATAATTCAAAAAGTAACTAGATTCTCGAGATTTTTTTTGCTTTTTTGTTCTCCATATCTACATTATGCTCGATCACCAGATACTCAAAACAAGGCCAAATTAGCTTTTGCATCTCTGTGTATTTTTGTTTATACTATCGGTGTCGAGTCCAGAAGTCAATGGCAGACAGACATAAAAAGCCCAGATTACGTAGGGACTGCTTTAAAGTCGAGTGGTCTCGGCAAACGTGACGAACGAAGGACGAGTCATTTCCATAGCAAAGGCTTGTGGCAGATACCTATCGAACGCTTGTGACATGCGTTGAACTATAATAAAAGCATGATGATACATTACTAGATCCAAACTATATGTTCTTACACGTAACGGCTTTCAAAAAAGTTCTAGATGACGGACCTGCACTAACCAGAGAGAAGTGTCCCATGTTCAACCATTGCTTAATGCTGAGCATGCAGACAAGTTCGCCTGTTATCTATCTACAGTCGCCAGAATACAACTGGTTAAAGGCTGTATGTTACAAGAGCCATTTAACCGTAAAACCAAATAGAATAGAGAAATCACAACCGGGCTTCACGTACTTACATAGTTATAATAGGCTTATAATAGGTATAAAAGCTCCGTATGCGGATATCGTTGTTTGGCAAAAAAAAATGTAATCAATGAAATTGCACGGGGCATTGTAAGATTTATGTCTCCGTAACGGTACAGGTACTTGTATCTATCTATACTGAAAAACGGAAAAGTTGTTTTTCTAATTACCTTCCTCTAGAATAATATGAAGAATCTGTGACCGCATTCAAAACAAAACTATGTCTTGTAATGAGTAACGTATAAAATTTAAACGGAAATTGCTCTTTAGACGGCATATGCTATAACTAGCTATTATGATGGTATATTTATCTTGTGTGTGACAATCGACTAGCTAATTCCAAACAATCAAATACACAAAAAAAACAGAACCAATACACAATTGTATTAACAGCTATTACCATTGGCCGGTTGCTAAAGGAGCCACTTGCTCCCACAAGCTGACTTCCTCGGTCTCTGTCAACTTTGTTTGGCACGTCTCGTTCTTATCCATGTACTGTTATCAATTTCGCCTAATATTTTTATATAACATTGTTATTTGGAGCGTTGTTCATCTTGCTGTAAAAATAATTATTAAACTGCTTTCATATTATACTCACCGAGGACATCCTGGCCGTACCTGAAGTTCGTATTCCATCCATAGAACCAAAGGTAATTATTATATACCAGAGTTAATTATATTAAATATTTATGAGCTTTAAGTCTCATGAGTTGATGTCTGCGCTCTTCTTCGTGACATCCCATACGCCGACGACGTATACTCACTGCTGCGTGCTTTCGCCGAGGAGAACTTTTCGTAACCTGCCGCCAGAGATCTTTCCCTCTTTGTCAACACTATAGATAGAAAAATATCTATGATGAATTGGCCCAGGCCATGTCGAGCAGCCAGAACCCTTTTTTAGGAGAGCCGCCCCCGCTTTCGATTCCTTGCTTTCTTTCAGAGCACGCAATTTCTTTCATTTTGCCCTTTTCCCGCGTGCTCCACCATTCTGTTTCTGCTAAAGGTGCCTCAGCCGACAGAGTTCTAGTCGCACGGCAGGAAGTAAGATTTGTTGATGCTGCTTTACATAGCAGAATACCTTTAATTTTTTAAGCAGGTTGAGAAGTGTCGCATTATGCAAATCAGACTTAACTGTTAAGGTATTTGTCTGGTACTATAAGACTCTCACCCGCTTAACCCCATGCCTGGGCCTGGGTCCGGAACTCATTCCAATATAACTTTAAAGCAAAGCTCGTAAAGAAAGATAGTAGATTTGTGAAGTTATTATTAGTCATAAGATCCATCCTCCTGTAGAGTTTCCTACTCTGCCAACATTGATAATCCCGTGGAGGTAGTCTTATGCCCCTCTGTTCCGACATGCCTGGCTGCGTAGCAGTGTCCCGTGCAGTTCGTTTAGGTTTTGTGGCACAATCTAGCGTTGTATCCGTCATTTGGTTTCATTTAATTTCTCCCTAGTGATTTTTTCCCGACCAGTACATTTTTGGCCAGCTGTGGTCCTCGGTGTCATTGTTCAGCTATGACGCAGATGCGTTAAGCAAGACCGCGGGGACTGAGGCCCATTATTTCTGTGAGCTTTTATTAAACGATCCAATTTCGAGCCTGTTTCCGCTCAGGTTAATCCACCAAAAAGTGCTTGGCATCATCTTGGTACCACTGTCAGCGTGTACGCATATCGGCAAGGGCGCTTTCCCTATTCTATGCAAGTAACTACAAAAGTCCTCGGATCCCATTAGGAACTGCGTCCTTATAGCATGTTAGTCTCCCGCTGGGCTGATCGATTCAATAAGCGACTATTAGCATAATTAATAACCACGCTTTGCTGGGCAGTCATGGTTGCATCTTTCAGTTCGGTTAGACTACCAACTGGGGTCCTTCCATAACCTTCGTCGTTCGTCGATCATGAAGTCGTAGGTAATCATTCTTGCTGGAACAGTTAGGAGCCTGCATACTTGAACAATATGGAATGCAGAAATGCAATGAGCTTTTTGTAGTAGCACCCAGTTCTCTGTCGATGCAAACCAAACAGGAGCCCTGAATGAATTCGGCGACCGGCATGAAAAGCCTCCGTTTGCCTTTACTTAATTGGTATTTTGACAAATTCTCCCATCACCTTATTCGCCTTTACCACCGCCCGTCGTATATGGGGGTGGTGGTATCCAGTTATGCTTACCCTTTTGATTCCTCGTCGAAAGTCTACTAGGTCTAACACCTATTTCTTTCAACCAGAAAAGGCCCTTCGTTCTTGGCAGGGGCTACGGCCAGGCCGTTGCCTGTCATTTATTCATAAATTCGCGTCGGCATTTAATTGGATCGCGTTTCCGGTAGTTTTTGTATGCGTACGTTCACTATGCGAGATAAGACATCAGCGTACACAATCTGGTCCATATCTAACGAAGAAGCAAGTCCACATAAAAACTATTAAAGGCGCTTTTGATGTCTACTAGAGTAACCGGAAAAAATAATGGGTCCCCTCTGTAGAAACTTTGTGGGCCTTCGTATTACGACAACACAATTCTGAGGTCTGCCCTTTATAATACTTTTACCGATCGTATCTGACCAGATAAGAACTCGCATATATTACGAATGCAAGGGGTGTGCCTGTGGGGCTTTCCCTATCAGAGCCTCTCCACATTTCGAGTTTTATGTTCGGTATCGCCGTTAGGCATTTCATCAGAGGGCTGGCCCCAGCACGGAACGAAGTCTGTCTATGCTCGGTTTCGAGTTTAGACCAGAGCGTGCACCTAAGACTAGCAGGCAAATATGTTACTCTTCCCGTCATCATGAAGACCTATTAGAGCCTCACTCCCTCGTATAGTGGACCACTCGAGAATTAACACCAGATCATCCTAAGTCAATATAAACGGAGTTCCGCGACAAATGCACATTAAGCTGAGCACCCCGTTTTCCCTTACTGTAGTGAGACTGAGATAAAGGGAGAAAAATCTCTAATGTGTAACAATGGGCACAGAGTAAATACAGACTAGTTCAACGACGCTAACTATTCTCCTGAAGATCACATCTGGTATCTTCTCAAACCTTAGCAAGATTTATTGAGGGTTTTTCAGTTTCTGGCTGCAGCCAGATAAGCTAGGTTAACGCGCGTTATTTATAACTGCGCGCCATTCAATGGTATTGTGGTCACGTATTTTAGGATTCTAAGTGTAATTAGTTGATACGCCGCTAAGGTTGTTCTCGCTTACCTGAATTAGCCCATCTGGACCTAGTTAATTCGCAAGTCACTCATTGTCAAATTTAGATCAAAGTTTTTTTTCAAATAAATTGTTCAGCTTTTTATGTGCCCTCTTCAAAAACGTCAATGACGAAAAATACACACCCATACCTGTTCACTGAGAGAAACACTATATTCAAAGCGATGACAGTTATTATTAAAGCCTAGTTCCTTTTCAAAATACTGTCCTGTTATATAGATCTTCAACAGCACAGCGCCTTTCATCAGTCCGAGTTTCTGACGTGCTCATAGAGAGTTCGTTTATATCGGAACCGACAATAAGTCCTTATTACTACAGCTATGCACAGGGATGTTCTAACGAAGAGCGCTATCTTCTATGGGGTAATCTAAGGTCACCAAATATTGGACTACCAAAAGTCGTATTAAAGAGTTACGTGTAGAACTCGCGTGCGAAATATACGCAAACTCAACCTGACAGATGCATCCACGATTCTATCTGCATGGCCCTGTTCGACCATTCTTGTGAAAATCCGTTTGGCCATATGATCGCCAATCCCCCTCCATGACTCCACCCATTCGACATGAGCAGCTACGAACTCTAGGCAAAGGCTTTCCAGTGACGGGGGTGCAGCTTGAGAAATAGCTTCATGCACGCTATCAGATCCAGATTCGAACTTCTCCATGTTTGCTTTCAGCTGCTCGTTGAATATAGGTCCTCGATTGCATTAAGTTCCGATGATTGCGCAGAGTCGGTGTCGACTTTATTACTCAACTGTGGCAGTGAGAAAAGCCTAGCGAAAATGAACAATCAAAAACTAAATTTAGTTAATATGCAACTCTTTGTTGTTTACGTTAGGAAAAATAATAATATGGCACATTGGGCCTATACAATATCTTTCTTGCTTTTGGTATAAATCACGGCCCCAAATCTGCGTCTTTTTCGGCTATTCACTGACCTGCAAACCCCAAAATTGGATAATTAAGAACATATAAGTTTGGATTGACAATTTGAAATTTTACTCAATAGAATCAGCATCTACGCAGTCTTTTTGCAGCAGCATACACCACGTGAACTCGAGCTTTACGTGTTTAAGAGACTCCTGCATGTTGGTATACAACGAGCAACGAAAATAGCCTGCGCGTACATAAAATGGATTTTTTTTTTAAATGGATTTTTACGGTTTTACAGATAAAAAAAAACCAGTCGACACGCTACTTTGACTGCTGTTTGGGCTTGATGGCCATCTGGGACTAGAACTGTATTGTTGATGTAAACATAAGATTAAAATTAGCAAATATAAAACAAATGAATTCTTCCTGCTCGATGCTAACGCGTATGTACAACTTTCTTACTTACATTATAAATAAACGTGACAGAAGCGTTAAAACTCGGACATGGCCAATCGCCTATCAACAGAGGGAATTCATCTTGACCTATTGGGTTTAGTTTTACAGAAGGTAAGGCCAGTGTTTCTTAAATTGCAATGCCGGGATCGCCATTACATGCTGTACCTGTATACCGAGGTAGATACAGAACGAAAAATATAAGTATTAATAATCACAAACTCCGACCTAACAAAGTCGCCTTCAGGTTACGTGCATACGATGAATGAGCAAAGATAGCTGATAGCAGCTGCTAGTCTCTTTCGGTGCGCGCATCTGATTTGTGGTTAATGCCAATCAGATACAAAGCCAGAAAAATATCGAAGGTAAGTGGCTGTTGGCCTCATCTGGCCTAAGCCTGATGGATTTGTTTGCCTGTATTCGCTTTCCAGTATCTGTTCTGTCTTGCATTGTACGTATGAATTAGCCATGATATGTCAAAAGTCACTAGTATAATTGACAAGACAGCAGGAAAGTGGGCGTGAATACAAGAGCAACGTTGTAACCGCGCAGCAAATATATCCATACGTACGTAGGGATGGCTAAAGCGGAGGTATAGCAGTGTAGATAGGAATAATTGACAAGTTCTACTGATCTCTGCTATTCCTACTTATTTACCAGGGGTGAAGCAAGAGCGCAAGCCACAGACCCACCAATGCGAGAGCCAGGCTTTTATTTTTAACTTTTTCCTCCCTGCGCCCTTGCAGGGCCAAAAGGACGGAAACCCTTCCACTTCATCCCTTTGTACATAGTTTTCACTTCACCCGTCGATAAGTCGCCAGTCATTTGTGGTCTGAAGACACGATGAGGGGGTGATGGGGTGCTCGAGGGTGACGTCCCCTACGGCCCTTGAGTCAAGCGACCGTTTCGGAAAATCCTTTTTTGATCTCAAGCGGCATCTGGACGAGCAAGAAAAGAGGGACGCACCAGGCTGGCAAGCCTTCTGCAATTATTTCTCGAGCTGCCCTTTTCTCTGGTAGTTCTATTTGATTGGCTGCAAGATGCGTTGCTATACTCGTCGCCGCGGCCGGTGTCTCCCTCACCATCGCAATTAGCTGTACGTATCGCAATTAGAGTAACCTTAGATAAATCAACAGCTCTCCTGCCTAGAACGGCAGCGAGGTCGGTGTCCTGCAAGGCTTCCGCTCAAACCGTTGCAACGATCAGTTCTTCCTTATGCTGATCGACCGAGGCTAGAAGTGGGCAATCTGGACATTTGCTGAGTATGATTGTGCCGTGGACCGGTAGAACAGAAAGAAGATTCAAGTTCATTTTAGCACATGTATGGATCACGGACAGTGCCAAATAAAAACGGACCATCACAAAAATCTAACTTTTTCTAATTAAACTAAGCGTTTACATTAATTTTTCATGGTGAAAATAGTTGGGGTTTCAATAACGGCAATCGATATTACCTTGAGAAGTTGACGTGCAGTTGGGGATGAAGCAGGCTGAAATGGCATATATATATATATATATATATATATCGTGTCTATAGCACAACCGAAATCAGACCACGAAAACTGTGCAATTACCCGTATCTCCTACGCGATGCTTCATCCACGGACGCGAAGGTATTATCGTTTACAGCAGCTTAATACTAGGGCAGGGCAACAGATAGTGCTTAAATATGCGCCACTTCTAATTTTGTAAGCGTACAAACCGATTTATGAGCAGTTCTATCTACCCTAACCGACTCCTATGGAACATGAGTCGGCTGTGGTCGCCGTGGCACAACAAGTCATCACAGCCGTCACACCGTTAGGCCAATACAGCAGTTTTATAAAGACCAGCCTTGTGTACGGCAAAGTAATGTTCGTTTGGCCGGGTGCATTTATGGCGTAGATGTTATCCTTACCCTTACTAATTACAATAAAAACCGATATTATACCTTACGAAGAAACTAACACGAACCCTACCATTCAGATAGATTCTCCCTAGAAATATAGTTTTCATTGTCTTCGTCTTCCTCTCTTCCAACGCACTTGCTCAAGTCGACACTGTTTGGACGCAACTCGCACAAGGCCTTTATATGATACCCATTAAGATTGATTTATGGATAATAATATCTTTTACTATGTGCGTAGTGCTATAATTATAATAAAGGAGTGAGGCAAGAAAAACGAAATAAAAACGGACTGTTTTGGGTCAACGTTGCGGCAATCGGAAATAACCGAAATATAAACAAGTCGGAAAACCTACATACAAAAGCAGGTAGCAGGGATTACAGGTTGTACTAACTATTTTATCACAGTAGGAAGAAACTAATCGTAAAACGGAAGTATACTTCTATTTACGATAATATTTAGATTTGAACAACCATATATATATATATATATATATATATATATATATAAGCGAATATAAATTATTTTATAGAGCGAATAGAAATTTCGGTATAGCAGTTAAGGCTAAGATTATTCGAGTGACAGTCCTAAAAATAAATCGCAGTGCCATACAGGAGCATCGAGATTTACTTCTTTTTATTGAGAAAAACACGGTAGCGACTGTCAAGCTAAATTTTTTCAGTACAGCGTCCGGCTCTAGCACCGTTAAGCGTCCTTTTAAATTGGCCACTATTGAGATAGGTTTATTGTAGTAACTGATCACTTCAGTTGTTAGGTGCAAGAAAAAAACTGTTACCCTAGAATTTGTTTCCAAATTTACCCAGTAGAACTTAAGTACGGTGGGAATAGCTGGCGACAGCATTAAGACAGAAAGACTTTTTCCACATTTTCTGTCCGTTATTTTTGTCTATTTTATAGTAGTTTATTTATTACTACGCAACGTTATTCCACGTATACCATCAATAGGAAATTATAGCTTGACATATAACTTGTTTTTGAGCATCCTGATTTCATAAAACAAGGAGCAGCGCCTACATAATATGAGCATCGAAATCGGGTATTTTTTTCGATATAATAATGCTCATAGTGGCCAACGATGAGAAAGTGAGCGTTTTTCGTAACGTAAATTACCATGCATCCTACTACCGTTTGATAATTTTCGGTGTATCTCTATATTCACGCTTTTCTAGTTTTCTTAGCTCTATAGATCCTCCTTATAATGCATTTCTGCACGGTTCATCTCCAAAGGATATTTTCGAAGATAAAATATATCTTACGGACATTTTATCCAGAAAGACCTGAATAGGTAAATTGGCGGCTCGATTTCCACTCTTTAGATCATCACTGAGCCAAGCATTAACCGTATAGGGACTTGATTTCATATCTCCAACGAGACTGCTCAAGACAAACACACTAATGGATGCGGAAAAATTCATTCGCCGAGGCAGACTGCATTGAGCGAACAAGACGACAAAACAAACCATCACTATTTAGCTTTTTATCGCCGTACTCGATGAAACAAGACATAATGCACCATGTACCGAAAAGCTCGTCTGTAAAATAAATACCGCCTAGATGCCGACTAAGACTGCCAAACAACGACCGTTCGTCTCCGTCTTCTTCAAATGCGTAATATGAACGTTTGACTGTTGGCTATTTACATTTATGGTGCTAGCGATAATGGCGGCGTATCCGACCAACCTATCGTTAGTACAGTGATCTACCTATATGCCATTGAGGTTATTACACGATTTCAACACTTAATCCGTAGTATATGCGTTGAAGGTGATGTCCATCGGTCTGTCCTCTTCTTCAACACGCGCGCCTCTGTTTACCGTTCTAGTCGACGGACGTCGGACTGGGCATCAACCAATGAGCGAACGGGCTGAGGACAGAATCGACATGTGGATCGGGATCAAAAGCCAAAGCCAACATGTTGACGTTAGATTCGACCATTGGCAAACTTGATTGGTGTACACCTTCGAAGACGTCGGCCTGAGACCAATTCAGCCCACTCTGCCCGGGTGGAGGAAACAACAAACACTTTTAAATAAAATTACTGTCTAACTTATTATTTAATACTGCAATATATTGCATTTGTGATGGCGTCGTACAACTACAATTACATCTTTCAACGCGTTCCTTTAGAGAGATGCGCGTGCAGTTGCTAAAAATGAGGCCAGACATGAAACGGTCCTTGTCGACGAAGAATTCAAGACGCGTTATAAAATATTAACTTTTTTTTTCTCGCACATATATTATTTCCCGTGCCTATTTTATACAGTAATAGGACTTTTAGTATTGTTGTTATTAAACACGTCGTGTATTCTTGTTCAGACGGCTATAACTATAAAGTTAATTATATCCGAGCGGAGGCCAACTGCGCGCGCCCAACTTTGCCCCGAAAAAATGGTGTTTCATTGTCGCCTTATGAGTATGTCAAACTCAAAGTCCCTATGGAAATAAACGCTGTTTTAGTAAATCCTATTGTTTATTATAACAATTCTATTCCTGCTATAAATATTTCTAGTTAAAGATGGTATCGTGGATCACCTCGAACGAGAAATATATCATTTGCAGATACCTCTTGCATCTATACGTTTTTTTCCGTGACGAAATGAATTGGGAGAAGCGCGCAGGCTTATCGGTGTTTTGACAAAATATTCAAACACATTGTCAGTGATCGATGAAAAGAAGTTCTCACGACCGTATCTCGGCAAGCAGTGTACGCGTTCAACATTCAACCATCGTTTTCCAGACGACGATCTATTAGATGAGAAGGCGGGAGATGAGAAAAAAACGACGCTGTAGAAGGTATTGGAACTCGGCCACGAAACGGGAATGCAACGCAAAGCTTCTACACAGCGAACGTCGGTAGACACACTTGCAATTTGTATGGGCTGCTCGAATAAGTGCGCCAAGATGAAAAACGTTATCGTATTTGGCGACTCTCTAATTATCAATAATATACTACTAGATTTGTCTATGTACATTCAGATAATTTTATACATATTTCGGCTGCATCAGAATCATCGCAGCGTTCTGTCAGCGAATTCAAACTTAATACTGGATGGGAGATAGGACTAATATGTGTATTTCGCCTATTAGGCCAGGCGAGTGATAAACGCAACGCGTATGTAGGCACAACTTGTAACATCTTGCTTCAGTCGCCTCCACAGACGCTTCGTTCGCAAAAGTTTAGATTCGATGAGACTGAATTTACCCTCAAGATATGCCCGATATAGATCATTAAGCTGCCACACAATACTTTTTAAACGTTTA